GGGCATCATTGTGGGCGTGGTCGTGCTGGCCTGCGTCATCGCCGCCATCAGCGCATGCGTCGTTCGGCGCATGCGTAGTCGGAGAAAAGGGTTTGACATGACAGCTCCGTTGTACAACATGGGCCACGCCAAGCCGCGCCCGGCCGTCGCCATGGAGACGGGAAATTTGAAGTGATTAAACGTTCTGACCAATCACCATCCATCCTCAGGGTCGACATAGCAAAGGACATAACTAAACTAACCGTAGGGTTGGCGAATTCTACCTTCGCAAGTCGGGACCTCAGGATATCACTTACTAGTAATCAACCAATGTACCCATCCATCCTCTAATTGATTAATCAATATATCGATCAGTTTATTACTGAATCGCCATTCTGTTAATATCATCGATAGGGATAGAATAATGGCAATATCTAGCAATGTATGTACTAGTCCCTACCTTCAAGAAAAACATATCATACGTCATGTAACGTTCACTTTTAATACAATGTACGTTCACTTTTAACCCTACCTAGACCGGGGGGGGGGGGGCTAAAAGTGCCCGCGGCAACTTTGATGTCACCTAGCGTCTGAACGGCTAGCCGTAGAACGGCCAAACTTGGTGACTTTTCCTAGAATATTGTTGGCAACAATTCTCTATCATTGGATTAAGATAATAATTTTTTGTGTTGCCATGGCAATGGGTTTCTGACAGGCATTTTTTGCTAAATTTAGTACTTTTTGTTTCAACAATAGAAATTTATGGGTTTCATGTCAAGTTCCTCATGGTTTCTAATATTAATAACACCCCATATAATTTTATGTAAATTTTATCATTAAATATGCATAATTTATGCTAATTTGATGACGTCATTGGCCAAAATCCAAGATGGCGGACCATATCATTAGAACAGGTATATACAGGTTATTTTCATTAAAATTTCATCAATACTTCCATTTCTTTTTCCAAAAAAGGTTTTAATGAAGGCCTTTAGTATGTCTACGATGTATTTATATAGAATACAACACGGGGTATTCCGTATCGCCCGAGGTACCAGCCCGACCGCGCGTCGGATCGCCCGACGGCCGAAGGCCGGAGGGAGATCCGATCCGCGGGAGGGCTGGGACCGAGGGTGATGCGGAATACACCGTGTTGTATTTTATTTATGTCATACCCACCCAAGAAAACACGCCTTTCAATGCAAAATGAGCAGAAAGTTGGTGTCCCTAAACCCAAAAAGTGCAACAACATCAATTCCAACGTCCGAATTTTGCATTCGAATTTTCGAAAGCGTTGCACGCGGTTAGGGCGAAACGCGTTCGAATCGCCCTATGGAACATTTGGAAGCCCCGGGCCGTACGCGTTAAGAACCCCCGGGCTGTACCGCTAGTTATCACACGGGCCGGAACACCCGTATCGAACGTAATCGCGGCCCAGGTAGGACATAATAGGCTTTATCATGAAAAAAAACTATTTTTGAAAATTCAAGATTGATGATCCAAGATGGCGGATATCTTAAATATGCATGACGTCATGTTATGACGTAACCGGTGTTGCTATGGGCAACATAAGACTTAGTACACCATAATATTCTGTCATAAACACTTTTGGTACAGTTATGTTGAATACCATTGAGTTTTCAGGGAAAAACCTATTTAGACGGTTTTGGCCAATAAAATCACATTAATGACGTCATAATGACGTCATATTACATCATAACGACATAAAAATTGTAGATATGATAAATTTTTACTAGTACATCATTCTCTGAAAATTTGGTGGTCATACGACAGACCGTTCGCGAGTTCTTAGGGGGGG